TGCCAGATATTTTGGATTATCCTATTCTGATATAATCTGGGTATCTAATTAATTTTCCTACTATATCAGTGGTTCCCAACCTTTTTTTGACTAGGGACCACTTTGGCCAGGGACCACTTTGACCAGAGACAACTTTGGCCAGAGACAACTTTGGCCAGGGACCAATTTGGCCAGGGGTCACTTTGACTAGGGACCACTTTGGCCAGGAACTACTAGACCGAGGACCACTTTGGCCAGGGACCACTTGACCAGGGAACACTTGACCAGAGACTATTTTGAACAGGGACAATTTTGATCAGTAATCACTTTGACCAGGACCACTTTAATCAGGGACCACTCTGACCAGAGCCCACTTTGGCCTGGGACCACTTTGACTAGAGACCACTTTGACCTGGGACAACTTTGGCCAGGGGCCACTTTGACAAGGGACCACTTTGGCCAGGGACAACTAGATCAAGGACCACTTTGGCCAGGGTCCACTTTGACTAGGGATCACTTGACCAGGGACCACTTTGACCAGGGACTATTTTGACTAGGGACCACTTTGACACTGGCCTGGGACCACTTTGGCCAGGGTCAACTTTGATCAGGGACCACTTTGACCAGGGACCACTTTGACCAGGAACAACTTTGGCCAGGGACAACTTTGATCAGGGACTACTTTGACCAGGGACCACTCTGACCAGAGACCACTTTGGCCAGGGACCACTTCGACCATGGACCCCTTCGAACATTAGTACCAAAAGGGTTATGAACCAGGTTTTGGTCAACTTTAGATTTAGTTAGGTTATTTGGAGTGCTGATTCAGAAAATTGCATTGGGTAGACCACATCAGCTCTAGTTTCTGATACAGAACACATGCCATCCAGTAGTCACCATATTCTCCCCCACAGAAAACCATATTTAATAATCTAGAGCTGATGTAGTCTATCCAAAGCAATTTTCTGAATCAGCATCCCAAATAACCCCTAAAGACATCAAGTTGCCCCTAGTTCCTGGTGCCACATAGAATGGCTCCACTCAGGGGGAGGGAGGAGGAAGAGAAGCAGCAATCTGGAGACTTGTTGTCATACCTTTGGTGGGTAGTCAGCCTCTCCCCTCCCGACATCCTCATTTCTTCAGAACTATAAGAGTGGTTTTGCAAGACCAATCATTCTCTTTGCAATGGTGTAGTAACAGTGAGGTCGCAAACCATATTTTAGTTCTTGGGGACCACTGGTGGTCCATGGACCACAGGTTGGGAGCCACTGTACTATAGAAATACTGTAGATCTAGATATAAATACTGTAGTCTGGCACCACTTTAACTCAATACTATGGAATCTTGTGAGTTGTAGTGTTACAAGCCTTCTCTGCAAGGAGTGCTAGTGCTTCACCAAATTACAAATCTCATGATTCCATAGTATTATGTCTGTTAAAGTGGTGTCAAATTGCATTATTTAGTGCAGATACATCTCTATTTTAAAAAAATACAGACATTATTTATAATGCCTTGATTTGTTTGCTGTTGATTTTAGACCTGGACTTGCACCTTCCTCCCTGAGATATAGGCAGGAACCAAGGGACTCCTTAGGAAAAATGATGTCGCTCACACTAACAATCTTTCAGTGCCATTGACTCAGTACACAGATTTTATCAGGACAGCATCCTGGAATATAGTGAGTCAGAAAGAGAAAAGTATGTGGATATCAGGGCCAAAATCCAATTGTGAATCAAATGGGAATTTGGTAAGTCAACACTTATGTAAGTTCCTTTCTGTCAATGGATCTCTTCTACTTGGACTTAGTCCAGATTGAGGGACAGAGAAATATTTTTTTCCCAAAAATGGTTGCTTTAAACAAAGCAAAATAACTAGTGGTTCAGACCACACACTCCAAATGTGGTGTCTTCCAGATATATTAGACTACAACTCCCAAAGGGAAGTGATGGGAGTTGTAGTCCACCGTGAAACTGGCAAAGGAAGTGTTCTAAATCTAGTTTCCTAAGTCCACTTTATTTAACTGCCTAGGCTCATTCAATGGAAGCAAACCTGTCATCTTACAATCATTATCATTGTGGGGAAGAGCTATAGTCCTATGGAAAGCCACACTAGATTGATTGCACGGTGAAATGATGCCATAACACACTATTCTAAAACAACACTTAGAAACTGCCTTTCAACCTTACTTGTAATAAGGTTTTGTGCTTTTATTGTTTTTACTAGCTGTCCCCTGCCACGCGTTGCTGTGGCCCACATGGGGGTTCTGTGTGGGAGGTTTGGACCAATTCTATAATTGGTGGGGTTCAGAATGCTATGTGATTGTAGGTGAACTATAAATCCCAGTAACTACAACTCCCAAATGTCGAGATTTTATTTTCCCCAAACTCTACCAGTGTTCACATTTGGGCATATTGAGTATTCGTGTAGTGTTTGATCCAGATTCATCATTGAGTCCACAGTGATCTCGGGATGTAGGTGAACTACAACTCCAAAACCAAAGGACACTGCCCACCAAACCCTTCCAGTATTTTCTGTTGAGCATGGGAGAACTGCGTGCCAAGTTTGGTTCAATTCCATCACTGGTGGAGTTCAGAATGCTCTTTGATTGTGGGTGAACTATGTTGTTGTTCATTCATTCAGTCATCTCCGACTCTTTGTGACCTCATGGACCAGCCCACTCCAGAGCTCCCTGTCGGCCGTCACCACCCCCAGCTCCTTCAAGGTCAGTCCAGTCACTTCAAGGATGCCATCCATCCATCTTGCCCTTGCCCCAACTACAACTCCCAAATGACAAAACCAATTTTTTGAGTGAAGGACATACATTGCTCTGGCAGGTGTCTTGTGTTCAAGTTTGGTGTCATTTCATCCAGTGGTTTTTGAGTTCTGTTAATCCCACAAACGAACATTACATTTTTATTTATATAGATTGTTTCTACTGTTTTTATATGGCTTATATTATATGTTAATGTTTTTAATTATATTTTATGTTGTTGGGAGCATTGATTGCTGACTGTAAACCACCTTGAGTCGCCTTCAGGCTGAGAAAGGTGGTATATAAATATGGTAAATAAATAAATAAATATGGTAAAGGTAAAGATTTCCCCTTGACATTAAGTCTAGTCGTGTCCGACTCTGGGTGGGGTTGTGCTCATCTCCACTTCTAAGACGAAGAGCCGGTGTTGTCTGTCGATGTCTCCATAGCCAGCATGACTGTATGGAGCACCGTTACCTTCCTGCTGGAGCAGTACCTATTGATCTACTCACTTTTGCATGTTTTTGAATTGTTAGGTTGGCAGAAGCTGGGGCTAACAGTGCGAGCTCACTCGGCTCCCCAGATTTGAACTGTTAACTTTTCAGTCAGCAAGTTCACCAGCTTAACCATCTGCATCAATGGGGGCAGCCTGTAATATGGTACACATGTATTTCAAGATTCTTTTGTGTCCGCCTACATTAGGGGGGGCTATGTTTTGTTTCTTTCCCCTCCTACATTTTCTTCCCGTGAACATCATTTCATTCCTATTGTTACACTGAAGTAACATTCTTGCACTAGCACAGTTGTTTTCCCCATTATCCCATAAATGGAGGGAGAAAGAGAGAAAAGTGTCAAGAGGAAGGCGCATCAAGCCAACCCTGACCAGGACCGCCTTCCACCTGGAAACCGATGGCCTCACTGTGGAAGAACATGTGGATCAAGAATAGGGCTTCACAGTCACCTATGTATCTACTGCCAAGACACTACACTTGGAAGGGCATCATACTCGGACAACGAGGGATCACTGAAGTAACCAAGTAGCTTTCAGAGGCATTGCCTTTGAACCTGGAGGTCCCATATGGCCAATGGCAATTGATAAATCTCTCCTCCATGAACTTATCCAATCCAACATTAAAGTCAACAAAATCTATGGATATCACCCCTACTACTGGCACATAATTACATACCGAATCTAACACCAAATCAACACAATCTGATGTGCTACTGTTAGAAATCTTCTATATCATCCCACTGTTTTGAGACCAAAAACTGCAAATAGATGTACCATTTGGACACAGAATGGAAGTCATATTTTAATTCTGTAAACTTCACATATTTTCACTTTCTACTCTTTTCTTCTTTTCTATATATATCTTTTCTTTCTTCTCTCTTTTTTCCTGTTATGTCTATGGATGTATTTTTTTCCTTTGGAAAACTTAATAAAGATATTATAGAATACTATATCATCCCACTGCTTTAACTCAATCATTGGAAAGACATGATAGGTAAACAACTACCAAATATTGCAAATGTTGTGTTACACATCTTTTGATGCTATTCTGTTGGTAGATGCTATTCTCCTCGTGTTTACTTTTAATATTTGGAATAACATAAAATCTAAAAGGAAGGAAGGAATGTATCTTCCATATTTATTCTGCCCATTCTTTTCCTTGTCTATGGAAACAACATTATTAATCAATCAATCAACCAACCAGCTAATAAGAAAAAAATAAGATTGTAAGACTGATGTCAATTTGCAAACTAGTCACAGGTCAAGATATACCTGTTGGATCAATCTTCTTGAGCAGGCATAGGCAAACTTTGGCTCTCCAGGTGTTTTGGACTTCAACTCCCACAATTCCTAATAGCCTACCGGCTGTTAGGAATTGTGGGAGTTGAAGTCCAAAACACCTGGAGGGCCAAAGTTTGCCCATGCCTGTTCTAGTGTTAATTTCATGAGATCGAATATCAGCCATTCCCAAGCTGGTGACCTCTAGATGCCTTCAACTTCTAGAGCTCCAACCAAGACGACATGCAATAATTTGATCTCTTGGAAGTTGCCAAGTTGGAGAAGTCTGCCAAGAATATATTCAGCTCAAATAGTAAAATGAATGGCATGGGTTCTGAGCAACCTTTTATCAGTTTGTCCCCTCTGCAGAACCTTCTCTGGCATGTATCTTCCAGGCTTCCCAAAATAGCACAGTACCCAATGCTCAGTATTTCTTACTCTAGAGAAAGGTAAACATTATTTGTAAATTGACCTTCTTACCTTGGCATGTAGTGTGATCGGTTGCCTCATACCCAGCCGCACACCGTATCTGGGACGCGGTGTTATCTGGAGGAGTCCGACGACTGATTGGATTACCATTTCGGCCACTCGTGGTTTCAGAGGCGGTTCCTTCTTGGCCGTTGTTAACAATAATCTGGGCTGTTCTGGGCAGACAGAGGTATCCTCCAAAGTGGTTCACACATTTCATCCCACCTTTGCAGGCATCGGGCACAATCTCGCACTCATCAATATCTGCGGGTAGTAACAAGAAGATGGGCATCACAATGGGAACGTTCTAGGTATTCTATAAATACACATAGTCTTCAGCAAATAGAATATGTAACGTTTGGCAATGACTTAGCTCTGTACTATACATCAACACTGTAGAATTAAGACAGTTTGAAAACACTTGAATTACAATGGCCCAACGTTATGGAACCATGGGGGTTGTAGTTTTGCAAAGTATTTGGCCTTCTCTGCCAAAAACTACTACTCCAAGTTGTTTCAAATTTACCAGTTTACTTTTTTTTATCCCACCCTAAAACAAAGTTTGCAATGAATAATTCATTATTTAAATTGGAGTCACTGGTATGTGTCAAAGTAGCATTGTATCTGTTGGCCAGGTTACTAACTGGAATTGAATTATAGAGAGCGGACAAGCCCCCCCCCCCCATTAAAACAGCTCCACTGGCTGCTGATAAGTTTCCAGACCCAATTCAAGGTGCAGGTTGTTATCTACAAAGCCCTAAATTGTTCAGGTCCAGCCTATCTTTGTGATCGCATCTTCCCCTATGAACCTGCACAAGCTTTAAGATCTACTGGGGAGGCCCTTCTCTTGCTTCCACCTCCATCACAAGTGTGGTTGGTGGGGATGAGAGATAGGGCCTTCTCAGTGGTAGCCTCTCGGCTCTGGAACTCTCTCCCCAGGCAGATTAGATTAGCTCCCACCCTGTCCACTTTCTGTAAAAACCTAAAAACATGGATGTACCAATGTGCTATTGATTACTCTGGTTCAGTAGATGATTTGGCCCTTCCAGCCATAACTTAACACTTGGCTCTGGCACTTTATCATTATCCCTCCCTTTGCAATTGTATTGCACTTATTGATTTGGCCCTAATCTGGCCACTGACCCTTGCATCTTACTATCAGCCTGTCCTGGTGGTTGTATTGCACAAGCCCTTGCCTCGCCCTTCGTTTTGAACATGTTCACTGTGCTTCACTACTGTTTTTTTTGTCGTGTCAGGAGCAAGTCGCTTCTGGTGTGAGAGAATTGGCCGTCTGCAAGGACGTTGCCCAGGGGACACCTGGATGATTTGATGTGGGAGGCTTCTCTCATGTCCCTGCATGAAGAGCTGGAGCTGATAGAGGGAGCTCATCCACCTCTCCCCGGATTCGAACCTGCGACCTGTCGGTCTTCAGTCCTGCCGGCACAGGGGTTGAACCCACTGTGCCACCGGGGGCTCCTACTACTATAGCACAATAATATATATATATAGCATCATCAATAATCAACAACAACTACTGTTGTTGATTATTGATGATGTTTTATATATATTTTATTGTGCTATTTTTTAACTGTGTTGACTATGCATGGTCCCCATGTAAGCTGCCCCGAGTCCCTTTGGGGAGATGATGACAGGATACAAAAATAAAGTTGTTGTTGTTGTTATTATTATTATCATTTCTCAAAAATTTGGTCTCTCTTTTTTGACAGTATGTCTATTATGTAATGGGATCAAATGTAGTCTGGGGGAAAAAAAATATGTGGTTGTAATAGAAGATGATATAATGATCCTTATCCTTAGAATTAATTTCAGCTAAACTGTGATACATGAACAACATGTTAACCTGATTTATCAATGACATAGTACTCCATATAGAAACTCAGTTACACAAATGAGCAAATATCTACGAAATGTTGGAGAAACCACAACATTCCTTCAAATGTGGTGGAGCTGTTCAAAGATTTTTGAAATGGAAACAAAACAAATAAAAATGCACTTTCACCAGCACTCTTGGTTTACATTTATTTATTTGTTTATTTATTTATTTATTTACTTACCGTATTTCTATCCTTTCCTATCTCAACCCAAAGGGGTTCTCAGAGCGGATTACAACTTGGCACAGTTACAGCTTAATGGTGTAACATTAGAAAATGTTGACCATTTTTTGCTACCTTGGCAGCCACCTCTCCACCAAACTCAACATTGACACCAAAATACAACACTGCCTGAGCTCTGCGAGTGCAGCATTTTTCCAAATGAAGCAGAGAGTGTTTGAGGACCAGGACATCCGTAGGGATACCAAGGTGCTTGTTTATAAAGCTATTGTCCTCCCAACCCTGCTATATGCTTGCAAGACGGGGACAGTCTACAGACGTTACATGCAACTCCTGGAACGATTCCATCAGCGCTGCCTTTGGAAAATCCTGCAAATCTCTTGGGAAGACAGGCGGACAAGCGTCAGCGTGCTGGAAGAAGCAAAGACCACCAGCATTGAAGCGATGGTCCTCTGCCATCAACTCCGCTGGACCGACCACGTTGTCTGGATGCCTGACCACTGTCTCCCAAAGCAGTTGCTCTACTCCGAACTCAAGAATGGAAAACAGAATATTGGTGGACAGGAAAAGAGATTTAAAGACAGACTCAAAGCCAACCTTTAAAACTCTGGCATAGACACTGAGAACTTAGAAGCCCTGTCCCTTGAGCACTCCAGCTGGAGGTCAGCTGTGACCATCAGTGCTGCAGAATTTGTAGAGGCACGAATGGAGGTTGAAAGAGAGAAATGTGCCAAGAGGAAGGCACATCGAGCCAACCCCGATCGAGACCGCCTTCCACCTGGAAACCAATGCCTTCACTGCGGGAGACAATGCAGTTCAAGAATAGGGCTCCACAGTCACCTACGGACCCACCAGAACACTGACTATCCTACTCAGCCAACAAGGGATCGCCTAAGTAAGTAAACAACTTGGCACAACTCGATGCCATATTGAACATAAACATAATGGTTATAAATACATTAAACATTAAATCGCTACACATAAAACAATCACATATAAAATACAATTAAAACAGAATTTTAAACAGAAATTTAAACCACCACGTAGTCCGTAATCACGTTAAAACCACATTACAGTCACATTCCTGGCTGTGTCTATGGCATTGTTGAACGCATGGTTCCAAAGCCAAGATTTTACTTGTTTGCAATGGTATACTGTACCTTTGCATCGCTGCATGACAGGATCCCATTCATAACCATCTGTGCATTGCTGCATGTCAAACAAAGAAAACAGAGTTGATGAACTAAACAACAGTGACCAACATGCTTTAAAGATCAAGGTTATTTTAAGTTAATGCATGCCTACAGCAACGCTGAGGGTGCAACTTTTCCCCCCATATAAGAGAGTACCATTCAAATTGGTTTTGCCAATGCCATTCTGAGTTTCACCTCTGCAGGCCCTTTGAACCCCACGCAGATTTGGCCACGGCTTGCTCCTGATGGGATCTCGTCAGTTACGCTACTACGACTCTTCAATCATGTTATTATGTTATCCCAAGGGGGCAATTATTCTAGGAAGCCGAGATTACACTGGTCATGAAAACGCTGCCCACACAAATTCAGTATTTATGATAATTTAAGTGTAACAATATGTCATTAAAGGCCAAAGTCGGAATCATGCAGGCCATAGCATTTCCGATTTCTATGTATGGATGGGAAAGCTGGATCATCAAGGCCGTTGATCATGGAAGGAAAAATCAACTCATTTGAAATGTAATGCTGGAGGAGAATACCATGAACTGCTAAAAGGACAAACAAAAGGCCTGAATTTTTTTCTGAAAAAGCAATTAAAATTACTTTGGTACTCTAAACCGAGGCCCCTTTTATACTGCCATATAATCCAGATTATTTTGTTGTTGTTGTTCATTCGTTCAGTCTTCTCCGACTCTTTGTGACCTCATGGACCAGCCCACGCCAGAGCTCCCTGTCGGCCGTCACCACCCCCAGCTCCTTCAAGGTCAGTCCAGTCACTTCAAGGATGCCATCCATCCATCTTGCCCTTGGTCGGCCCCTCTTCCTTTTGCCTTCCACTTTCCCCAGCATAATTGTCTTCTCTAGGCTTTGCTGTCTCCTCATGATGTGGCCAAAGTACTTCAACTTTGTCTCTAGTATCCTTCCCTCCAGTGAGCAGCCGGGCTTTATTTCCTGGAGGATGGACTGGTTGGATCTTCTCACAGTCCAAGGCACTCTCAGCACTTTCCTCCAACACCACAGCTCAAAAGCATCGATCTTCCTTCGCTCAGCCTTCCCTAAGGTCCAGCTCTCACATCCGTAGGTTACTACAGGGAATACCATGGCTTTGACTAGGCGGATCTTTGTTGCCAGTCTGATGTCTCTACTCTTTACTATTTTATCGAGATTGGACACTGCTCTCCTCCCAAGAAGTAAGCGTCTTCTGATTTCCTGGCCCAGTCTGCATCTGCAGTAATCTTTGCACCTAGAAATACAAAGTCTGTCACGGCCTCCACATTTTCTCCCTCTATTTTCCAGTTGTCAATCATTCTTGTTGCCATACTCTTGGTTTTTTTTTATGTTTAGCTGCAACCTTTTGCGCTTTCTTCTTTCACCTTGATTAGAAGACTCCTCAGATCCTCCTGGCAGTATAATCTGGATTATATGGCAGTATAATCTGGCAGTTATCTGTTTTTAACTGGAGTCTACACTGCCATATAATCTGGTTCAAAGCAAATTAACTGGATTTCTTTATGGCAGTGTAGAAGGGGCCCCAGGCTTGTTTTAGAATGGATCTAAACTGCCCTATATCCCAGGATCTAATCTCAGATTATCTGCTTTGAACTTGATTATACGAGTCTACACTGCCAGATAATCCGGGATAAGGAGAAAATCTGGGATCAGATCCTGTGATAAAGGGCAGTGTGGATACCACCTTAGAGCCGTAGCAAACTACTGGAAGCGAGAGCGAGCTTATGCTCGAGCTCGCTCTGAAGCCCCGCCTTTTTCCCCCCGAGGCTGCTCTCTCTCTTGCTAGTGTGCCTGTTTTCCTTTGCTAGGGAATCGATGCGAGTGTACTCTCGCAGTTGGCAGAATTCAACTGTGAGCGTACGCTCGCATCCCTGCCCTCTGCAATGGAAAACAGGCACACTAGCAAGAGAGAGAGCAGCCTTGGGGGGGAAAAAGGCGGGGCTTCGGAGCAAGCCCGAGCGCAAGCTTCCTGTAGTTTGCTGCGGCACGAGCGTATGCTCGCAACGCTGCCCTAGCAAAGGGAAATAGGCGGAGAAAGAGGCGGAGCATCGCTCGTGCTGGCTTAGTTTGCTCTCGCAAAATCCTAGTTTGCTACGGCTCTTACACTGCCATAAATCCAGTATCCGGAGCCCCCAGTGGCGCAGTGGGTTGAAGCACTGAGCTGCTGATCTTGTTGACCTAAAGGTCACAGGTTCGAATCTGGGGAGTGGCATGAGCCCCAGCCTCTGCCAACCTAGCAGTTCGAAAACATGCAAATGTGAGTAGATCAATAGCTACCGCTCCAGCGGGAAGGCAGCAGCACTCCATGCAGTCATGATGGCCACATGACCTTGGAGGTGACTACAGACAAGGCCAGCTCTTCGGCTTAGAAATGGAGATGAGCACCACTTCCTAGAGTTGGCCACAACTGGACCTAATGTCAGGGGAAAACCTTTACCTTTACTTAATCCCAGATTATCTGATTTAAACCGGATTATATGGCAGTGTAGATGAGGCCTCAGGCCCCTTCGACAGTACCAAAAAAAAATCCAGATTATCTGCTTTGACCTATAATTAAGTGTTGACTCCTATAGTCCAGATCAAAACAGATAATGCGAATTATCTGTTTTTGATAATCTGGATTATGTGGCAGTGTAGAAAGGACCTCAATTTGCACTACTGTAAGTAAACTGAGCACAATGCAAAAAGAAAACTGGGATTATTTTAAGGAGACTGTTAAAAATGTCTCAGGCTGGATCTGCATCCTAGGATCTGCTTCCAGATTATATGTTTATCCCAGATTTTCTGGCAGTGAAGACTCATATAATCCAGTTCAAAGCAAATAATATGGGATCAGATCCTGGGATACAAGGAAGTGTAGATCCAGCCTCCATCAGGAGTGTGCTGACAAAGTAGGACAGCAGGTAAGGTAAAGGTAAATGTTTTCCCCAACATTAAGTCTAGTTGTGTCCAACTCTGGCGGTTGGTGCTCATCACCATTTCTAAGATGAAGAGCTGGCGTTGTCCGTAGACACCTCCAAGGTCATGTGGTCAGCATGACTACATGGAGCACGTTCCCACCGGAGCAGTACTTATTGATGTACTCACATTTGCATGTTTTCAAACTGCTAGGTTGGCATAAGCTGGAGCTAACAGCGGGAGTTCACCCTGCTCCCCGGATTCAAACCTGCGACCTTTCGGCTAACAAGTTCAGCAGCACAGCGGTTTAACCCACTGCGCCACCTGTAGGAGGGAACCGTTATAGGGCTTCTGGTGTTTTTAAAAACCAATTTGGGCCACTTACCGTATATGTGATGGTTTCATCTGCTTCCTGCGAGTATCCTGTAGCGAGCATCAATGCAGCAAGAATGGCAAACACTATCATCTTGAACCTTTTTTAGAAAAGAAGAAAACCCAATTTAATTTTGTAAAACAATGGCTCCTTCTACACTGTTTTTATATCCCATCATCTGTTCCCAGATTATTTTCTTATCCCAGGATATATGACAGTGGAGACTCATACAATCCAGTTCAAAGCAGATAACCTAGGTTCAAATACTGGGCCTTAAGGACAGAGTAGAAGGGGCCAATACTGATAAACCAGTGACTAGGCTGTGCCGATACTGCACACTGCTTGTTCCTCTGTTTCACTTGGGCATTCCCAATGACATCAAAAGTCGGGGCACGTGAGGGTGAGGTGGCAGCCTCGATGGAGCAGTTGGAGGATGAGAAAGAGGAGGAAAGGTAGACCCTGCAAGCCACCATGACTGCCACCTCACCTGGGCACCCACCTACAAGAAGCACTGTCTGAATACCAAGCAAAAAGTGGGTGCTAGAAACAATATCATACAAAAGATGACTGGCATAACCTGGGGATCACAACCAGATACAGTGAAGACACCTGCCCTTGCGCTTTGCTACTCTGCTGCTGAGTACGCATGATCAGTGTGGAACACATTTCACCATGCTAAAACAGTGCATGTGACTCTTAATGAGACATGCCACATTATCACAGAGTGTCTGCGCCCTACACCACTGGAAAGATTACACTGTTTAGCCGGTATTGCAACACCTGACATTCTCCAGGAAGCAACTAATAGTGAAAAGACCAAGGCAGTGACATCTCCGGCCCACCCCCTGTTTGGATATCAGCCAGCATGCCAATGACTTAAAATAGTTTCCTAAAATCTAGAGACACTCGCGGGAACACTTCAGCAAGTGAGAGTCCAAAAGTGCCAGGCTCAAACCCAGAACCTCAATCAATGGCTGATACCAAATGAGAGACTCCCCCCTGGGCACACAGAAAACTGAGCAACTTGGAAGGCACTGAACAGACTGTGTTCTGGCACCACGAGGTGCAGAGCCAACCTTAAGAAATGGGGCCACAAAGTGGAGTCCACGACATGTAAGTGTGGAGAAGAGCAAACTACAGAGAAGAGCAAACTACAGCGAGTTGTAGTTACTGGGATGTATAGTTCACCTACAATCAAAGAGCATTCTGAATTCCACCAATGATGGAATTGAACCAAATATGGCACACAGAACTCCCACGACAAACAGAAAATATATATCAGTGATTGGTTTGGGGGAGGGGGGTAAAATACTGTTTGCTTACCATTGAAAATTACTTAGGGCCGCCTCTGACAGGTAGCCTGAGCCGGAATCATTTAGGGCTTTATAGGCTAAAATAGAGGGAGAAACCGTGGAGGCCGTGACAGACTTTGTATTTCTAGGTGCAAAGATTACTGCAGATGCAGACTGTAGCCAGGAAATCAGAAGACGCTTACTTCTTGGGAGGAGAGCAATGTCCAATCTCGATAAAATAGTAAAGAGTAGAGACATCAGAATGGCAACAAAGATCCGCCTAGTCAAAGCCATGGTATTCCCTATAGTAACCTACGGATGTGAGAGCTGGACCTTAGGGAAGGCTGAGCGAAGGAAGATTGATGCTTTTGAGCTGTGGTGTTGGAGGAAAGTTCTGAGAGTGCCTTGGACTGCGAGAAGATCCAACCAGTCCATCCTCCAGGAAATAAAGCCCGACTGCTCACTGGAGGGAAAGATACTAGAGACAAAGTTGAAGTACTTTGGCCACATCATGAGGAGACAGGAAAGCCTAGAGAAGACAATTATGCTGGGGAAAGTGGAAGGCAAAAGGAAGAGGGGCCGACCAAGGGCAAGATGGATGGATGGCATCCTTGAAGTGACTGGACTGACCTTGAGGGAGCTGGGGGTGGTAACGGCCGACAGGGAGCTCTGGCGTAGGCTGGTCCATGAGGTCACGAAGAGTCGGAGACGACTGAACGAATGAACAACAACAACAAGGCTAAAGCAAGCACTTTAGCTGCCATGGCTCAATGCTATGGTATCATGAGATTTGCAATGTGGTAAGGTATCAGCACTCTTCGACTGCAATTTTAATAAGGTTTTGTATGTATTTATTGAGATGTAAAATCTTTTTATTTTGCAAGCCATTCTAAGTCCCCATTCGTAGTGAAGTATCAATAAACAAATATAATTAATTCAAATGCAATATAAGTAGACATTTAAAAGTGACTTGTTCTTTTTGTTGGAAAAGTTGGTTTTGAATATGCATTGAAATACCCCTGAGAAATTTCCATACATACAAATGATTCTGAAATGGCACTCTGGAGAAAAAGTGGTGAATTTACCTGAAGGCAGAAAGAAGATCCACGGCCACTGGGACAGATTATGTTTCCTGATGTTATTAGGCAATGCCTGCGTGGGTGTCTTTCCACAGCTGAAAAAAGAGGAGATTTTTTTTAATCCCAGCCTGGGACAGAATAGTACAAATGTTCTGAGTATGCAAATACAGACATGTACGTTGCAGTTTCCTGGGATGAATGAAATCACCTTGAGGTGATCAGGCAAAGAAATTTCTCAACTTGGGCAAAAGTTGGGTTGCTAAGATTGTTGACAAGTTTCAAATGATTAACATTGACACCATTTGCATTGCCAAGAAATTGCATTATATAGTTGGTGTAGAAACTGCAATATATGATCTATGCTGACCATATAATGCAGTTCTAAACTGCATTATATGGCAGTGTAGATAGGGCCAATGCTGCAGGAGGAGGTAACTTGTGAACAGTAATAACTTTTGAGAACTTGAGGCTTCTTCCTCTCCAAACCACCCTTGCTCTGGGATGCTCTCAGCTTTCATAGGAAAATCTAAGTCTGAAAGGAAATAATAAATAAGCGAATAAAACAGGTTACAGCACAGAAGCAGGAAGCTTCCCGAGCTGCATGCTTTTCAAATGAGCATTTGATGCCAATAACTCAAAGCAGAACCCGAGAGAATATCTGGGATGGGAGGATAGTTTTTGAAACCTGGATAAGTGAAATCATGGATTTCAAATCCATGGATAAGAGAGCCATACTTCACAAGGACGCCAGGTGCAAGGTCCAATTTGAAGAATAGAATAACTACATTGAAACAAAACAGAACAAGGCTCTACACACTATTGTTCTCAGGTCTAAAGTTTGTCATAAGGTACACACTTTATAAAAGCCTTGCAATCAAATATTTTGTGCATAATAATTCATTCAACCCAACACCAATTTGGTTCCTAGCTCTATGTGCTCCAAGATGTTGCTGGGTGCAAATCAGTGCTGGTTCTCACAAACAATACGCTGCTGCCTACTCTAATTCCCATCCACTAGCTTGACATGAAGTATGCACAATATGCTAGAACATGTTATAGTAATATTTATTTATTATTTATTTACCATATTTGTATCCCGCCCTTCTCAACCCCAAGGAGGACTCAGAGCAGCTTCACACATTGGCAACAATTCAATACCTTAAAATAACATACAATTGGTAAACATCTACATTAAAAACAAAGAGTGAAAACATCTAAAACGAATTACATCAATTATTAAAATCACATAATCCAAAGTCGTAAACCAGGGCCATTCCAAATGTCATTGCACAGATTCTATGTCCATTTGTTGCACTGAAGTTATTTTCCAAAAGCCTCGTCCCAAAGCCATGTTTTAACTCTCTTTCTGAAGACTAGAAGGGAAAGAGCTGATTGAATATCACTGGGGACAGATTTCCACAGTCGAGCGGCCACCACTGAGAAGGCTCTGTTTCTTAGCCCCACCAATTGCGCCTGCGAAGGAGGCAGGACCGAGAGCAGCCCCCCCTCCCCCAGAAAATCTTAATTTTCATGATGGTTCATAGAGGGAGATAAGTTTGGACAGGTAAGCTGGGCCGGAACTGTTTAGGGCTTTATAGGCTAAAGCCAACACTTTGAATTGTGCTCAGTAGCAGACTGGCAGCCAGTGGAGCTGACACAGCATAGAAGTTGTATGCTCCCTGTACGCTGCTCCACTGAGGAATCTGGCTGCAGTCCATTGGGCGACTTGAAGCTTCTGAACAGTCTTCAAAGGCAACCCCACATAGAGCACGTTGCAGTAGTCCCACATAGAACACATTGAAGTACAGCTTAGCCAAAAGATATCTACCTACCTATTTCATTGTCAAGGTATGCATTAGTCCCGAATCAAACATTTCATATTATGGCAGATCCTGAGCTGAGGATCCTGACACATGAAGTCTCTTACACATGTTAGGACTGATCAAAGCATGGAAAGATTACTCTTTTGACAACTACTCTCCAAATCTCCAGCCTTTAGCCATGCTGGCTGGGGGTTTCTATGAGCGGTGGTCCACAAAACAATTTTTCAAGCACTAGACTGAAATTTCAAAATAACAGAAGTGCGGTGTGTGTTGTCCTACTGACCCTTTCACTAAGGCCCCTTTTACACTGTCCCTATATCCCAGGATATCATCCCAGATTATCTGCTTTAAAATGGATTGTATGAGTCTCCACTTCTAGATAATCTGGGATAAGCAGATAATCTGAGATCAGATCCTGGGATATTGGGCAGCGTGGAAGGGTAATGAGATGTTCAGAGCTCTAAAAGAGTGGTGCAATGGCTTAAACCCTTGTGCTGCTGAATTATTGACCTGAAAGTCAGCAATTCGAATCCACGGGACAGGGTAAGCTCTGGCTGTTAGCCCAGCTCCTATTGTGAATAGATAAATAAATACCACTTTGGTGGGAAAGGCATAATACGCTCCAAACACTCGTGCTGGTCACACGACCAGGAGGTGACAACACAGGCTCCTTGGCTTGGAAATGGAGAACAGCACCTCCCCCAGAGCCAGAGATGAGCACTGCCTCTAAAGCCGGAAATGAAAGGAGAAGCCTGTGCCTTTGTTTGTGTCTCTCATTGTATTGTAACAAGGCATTAAATGTTTGCTGGTATCTGTTTACACTGTAATCCACTATGAGTCCCCATGGGGAGACTATATGAAGGAATAAAAATAAAGTGTTGTTGTTGTTGTTAAATCACAAAGTTGGAAGAGACCCCAAGGGCCATCCAGTCCCACCCACTGCCATGCAGGAACACACAGTCCAAGCAGAATGCTAAAATGAGAGTGCTGAGAATATAAAAATGAATAGGTGATACCTGCTTGTCAGGAATACAAAGCTATGCTGTATTAGTATGCCTCCTTTCCACAGATGCAAAATACTGGGCAGGCACAATAGATGTGCACATTGGTTGTGAGCATCAGGGCTATTCAGAATGCCCCACAACTCCTTACTCCTTTTTTCAATGGATAAAGGATTTCAAGTCAATGCACAAACATTATCATCTACATCACAATATGCTACAGTTGTCCAATTCATTCTCTGTCCTCCCAGCTGTTTACAATGTTCCAATTTCTCACTCCTCCTTCCCTTTTCCTTCTTTGTATTGTTGCAAGCTAGGTTCAAAATGCAAAAGTACTTTGTAGTGATGGGCAACCTTTTGAGCTTGGTGTGTCAAAATTTGCCAAAAACCTGAGCATAACTTAGGTGGGGTGTCAACTTCAAGAAAAAAACCCTATAATTTTGCAACATAATTTTGCAATATTTATAGTTTAAATAAGAAAAATGTATATTCCATGCTGAGTTATGGAGTGAACAATGCTCAAACATGCAGATGTTAAATTTGTAGAGCCTTTTACAAATTTAAGGATGGAATTAGATTGGCTCTTATAAGGTGTACTTCGCTGTATGCAGCCGCATGTGGCCGCGTGTCATCAAAAATAGCCATGCGTGTTAGTGCTGACACGCATGTCATAGGTTCACCATCACAGTACTAAATTGACATTTTCAAAGAAGGGTGGTTTTGCCCTTTTTTTCATAGACTTAGGCAAAAGCAAACTGCTGCAGCCACTTCTATTTTGTATCTTTCCCCCTCTCCATATCCTTTGCAGTCTTTCCTACACTTTGATATTGTTTGGCCACATTTTTTTTTCATCTGTGAAATGTTGCAGGGTTTTGTCATATGAGGGATTGCAGTAGTGCGACGGGTTAAACTGCTGAGCTGATGAACTTGCTGACCGGAAGGTCAGCGGTTTGAATCTGTAGGATGGGGTGAGCTCCAGCTGTTAGCCCCAGCTTCTGCCAACCTAGCAGTTTGAAAACATGCAAGTGTGAGTAGATCAATAGGTGCCGCCACGGCGGGAAGGTAACGGTGCTCCATGCAATTATGCTAGCCACATGACCTTGGAGATGTCCAAGGAGAATGCTGGCTCTTTGTCTTACAAATGGAGATGAGCACCAACCCCCAGAGTTGGACACGATGAGACTTAATGTCAAGGGAAAACCTTTACCTTTACTATTGCTACACTACCACCACTTTAAAATAAAATTTGAAAATCTTTAGAAAAACTCATCAGAAAAAATATTGAAATGATAGTGAAATGATATAATCATGCACAACTATTTTAAAAGGCTATGCTACAGACAAAAATGTTAGCATCGTTCCTGAAGGCTGCCACCAAACAACTTGTCTTTCTAAAGGAACGGAGGAGGAAATGTCAGGGAGGGATGGAAGGCGATAGAATTCAAGAAACACATACAAATAAATCTCATGGGGATTTTCTTCTTCTGTTTATGGGCCTCAAAGTATTTACACCATCTGGAATTAGGGGCCTCAACCTCTCTATGGAACTGGATGAAAAAACATATGATCTCATCTTCAGATCTCTGTACCAACCCATCAAATGTAACATAGGAATTGGAAAGAAACTGAAGGCTTTTCAAATTAGTAAGATATGCTTTTGAAAGAATAGAGGGGCAAAGGAATCCCCACCCTACAGCTTCTTTCCCTTCTCTATATCATGGATCAATCATCCAGGCCAATCTTGGAACAGCCTTTCCATACTGGGCTGTCAGCACATGAGTCAAATACAGTGTTTGTTTGCTATATATCAGGGTACGGGAATGAGGTGTCTTGCAGATGTTCTTAAGACTGCAACTCCCATGAGCTGTTGCAAGTAGATTCAATGGTCAAAACAATGGGATGTCAGTTCAGTAACATATGGGAGGCCATACATTCTGGCTACATAGAGGTATCTTGGTCCTATTATAGTGCATTGAACCAGTGGATAAGTATTGAGACTCTCTGGTGACATAGGATTCTGACCTGATTAGAACTGTAGTGTAATATAGTATAGCTTACCGTATTTCTTCAATTGTAAGACACACCCTAATTTCAGAACAGCCACCACCAACAAAAATACATAAGACACACTCCATTTTTAGAGATGCTTATATAGGAAAAAAATGCATCTCAACATTGAAGAAACACAGTAGTTACGTTAGTTCATGGACAGAAACTTCAGCTAGACCCCATCTACACTGCCAGATAAAATCCAAGTCAAAGCAGATAATC